GTTTGTGTCTACACACACACACACACTCACACACAAACGGCTACTTATCTACATGGAGTTAAGGTCATCTTCGGGTAGCAACTGCGCATGAGCCACTGTGTCCTTCACCAGCCCCCGGCCTCCAGTCTCGCGCTGAGCGTTTGTTGCGCAGCGGCTCCTCATCCTCGCCCTGCTCAGAGTAAGTGTTTTCATTTAATTTAACTTATTCCTATAGGGAAAGATACGTCTGTGAGAGAGCGTGAGTTATAGATGGGTAAAGGGATAATTTGATATAAAGAGCTACTAGCTAATCAGAACGTATATATGAGGCAGAGATGCTGATAAAAAGCCATAAGTGGAGGTAAAAAGAAAAATGACAGAATAGTCAGAAATATAGAGAAAATTAGAAGTAATGATTATTTCCATAAAAAACTTTTTCTAGTTTATATTCATTACAACACTTACTGCTTGACGTCTACGTCACAGTTTCTCTCTCTCTCTCTATATATATACATATGTATATATATATTTATATATATATATATATATATATATATATATATATATATACATATACATACATATATATATACATATACATATATATACATATATATATATACATATACATATATATACATATATATATATATATATATATATATATATATATATATATATATATATATATATATATATGTGTGTGTGTGTGTGTGTGTGTGTGTGTGCGCACACACATTTATATGTAATAATATGATTATATATAAGTATATATACATAAATACGTATGTACACACACACACACATTTATATATACACGTATATATTATACGTATATATACATACATACATATGTATAAATATGTATGTACACACACACACACATTTATATATAAGTATACGTATATATATATATATATATATATATATATATATATATATATATATATATATATATACATGTACACACACACACACTCATATATATATGTGCGAGGCCAGCTCATAGCCTCTCCATCATCAAGACTTCTACAGGGCCTCCTCGTGGCCATCCTAGGCTGAACTGTGGAGGCTCTTGGAGCAGCCTAAAGGCATGTGGCCACGCTCTGGCTTCATACTAACTCCTGCCCCCGTGCCCCCATGGGCGGCGGCCTTGCCAGTCTGCCTCCCCAAGAAAACCAAACTGGCAAGAAACCATATAGCTGTTGGTGCTGGGGGGAGGGTTAATATCCCTCCTACCCAGCAAGTAAGGCGGGTTGTGGGTCCCTCTGGGTTAACGACTGCTGGGACTCGGGTAGGGAGTGGGGGTTACCCCTTGTCCATTCCTTCTTTCAGGATAATTAGTTACCACTTCTGTCGAGGGAATTGAAGCAGCTGAGAGTTGAGGTGGCTGCTCTCTCGGAGGTGAGAAGACCTGGCAGCAGCATGATTAGTGTGGGTGGCTACACTTATTACTGGTCGGGCCACAGCAATGGCCACCATCTCCAGGGAGTAGCCATGGCCATTCAACCCTCGGTAGTAGAGGTCACTCCAGTCAATAAGCATATAATGGTATTGAGACTGAAGCTTTCATTTAGCTCCATGTCTCTTATTTCTGTGTACACTCCTACGGATGTATATGAGACGTTTTACGCCAAACTTACACATCTGACAGACAGCTGTCCTTGGTGAGATATTCGTATTGTTCTAGGTGACTTCAATGACTTCTGGCTGCGATTGAGCTCGCTACGAGATATCTGTCAGTCCTCATGGCTCAGGAGCTGATGCTGGCAGTGAGAATAGCCTTCTTTTCCGTGACTTTTCTAGGTCCCAGAAACTGAGGATTTCTGGCTCCTAGTATAAGAGTTCTGATCTGTATCGTTGGACTTGGTACAGTGATATGGGTAAAGTGGCCAAGAAGATCGACCACATCCTTGTTAGCACTTGCTGGAGGGTCCTCTAGAACTGCAGGGTGTATCAGAGTGCCTGTTCTGTGGAACTGGTCATAGATTAGTTGTGGCTACTCTCCAAGTCCACTTTGAACCCCCCATCACTCCAATGAACGCCATAAGATGCATGGGGGTTTGCCGAGGTATCTCTGGTTGCTTCACAGCACTTGAGAGCCTGATGGACCCTGTTCTTCTGTGGGACACCTTCAAGTGTGAAACACTTGATGCAATCCAAGAATTGATTGGTGAATGCCCAAGAGCAAGACAGAATTTCGCTGGAGACACCGGAAACCAGAGATGCTTGTTGTGCAGCTCAATTGACAGGGGATTGCAACTTGCATCATTCTCTGGTGCGCAGGACTAGGTCACTGTTGAGAAGGGATAAGGAACAGTTTATCAGGAATCTTGCAGAGGAGGTCGAAAGCCATTTCCTAGTAAATTACCTTCGTCCTGCCTACCAACACCTGAGAAAGCTAAACTCCAAGCCTTCCTCACAGAAGACTGCAGTCCGCTCAGCAAGTGGCTAGATAATCTTAGATCCTGATGGGGTGCGGGCATGTTGGGCTAAGTTATTTGAGAGGCTGTATCAGGTTGATCTACCAATAATTAACTTAGATGCAGGTAATGTTGAGATTCCTATGCCAGACCCACCCATCAGCAAGGATCTACCCTGCCTGACTGAAGTCAGGTGGGTGATTTCCAAGCTGAAGAGTGGTAAAGCAGCAGGTGTTTGTGGCATCCCAGCTGAACTGTTAAAGGCTGGTGGAGAACCTATGGCAAGGGGCTTGCATGCTGACCTGTCTGCCAACTGGTACCATTCCCCCTGACCTGCTGAGGGCTGTGGTCATCATTCCTCTCTGAAAAGGGAAAGGGGATTAGTGGGACTGCAGCAATCACCGAGGCATTACACTACTCAGTATACGAGGCAAGGTACTCATGCATATCCTATTGAGACGTATCAGAGACAATCTGCTGAGGCACCAGAGGCCGGAGGAATCTGGATTCACTCCTGGTAAGTCCACAGTAGATCATATCCTGGCACTTTGAGTCATTGTAGAGTCCCATCGTGAGTTCAGATCAGATTCAGATGTGAGGTAAAGTTGTGTTCTTGCACCAACACTTTTCAACACTTGCATGGACTGGATACTGGGTAGAGCTACTGTCCAAAGTCATTGTGGAGCAACTCTGGGCAATATCAAGGTTGCAGACCTTGACTTTGTTGATGATATTGCTATTCTATCTGATTCTCTGGAAACCCAAGTGGCGGCTCTTAATGCATTTAGCAATGAAGCAAAGCCCCTGAGGCTAGAGGTCTCCTGGACCAGCAGGATTTTGGGTGCCTACTAGGAGACCCTGTGCAGTCGGTATGTGCCTGCGGTGAAAATATCGAGGTCACAGAGAGCTTTATATACCTCGGTAGTGCAATTCATGACTGGGCTGTCAGACCAGGAAATCAGAAGAGGGATTGGCCTGGCAGCAGGGGTCATAAAATCTCTCGACAAGAGTATTTGGAGATGCCGGTACCTGTGCAAAAGGACCAAACTATATGGTAGTGAAACCTGGACGCTATCTTGAGCTTTGTAATCTCGTCTTGATGCCTTTTATAACAGATCCTTGCACCGGGACCATGTGTCGAACCGTTGCACCGTGAGACCGGTACAGGGCCTGTTACTTTCACAATCTGTGATCGCCAAATCAAGCTATACAGCCACTTGGCTCGATTCCCGCAGGATGACCCTGCCCACCAGATTGTCTCTGTGGGTGGAGGAGGCTTGTGGGACGACCGAGGAAGTCGTGGCTGTAGAAAACTAGAGATGGGCCGGGCCCCTACCTGGCGGCTCGCCAAGAGGGACCCTCGTAGATGGAAGCGAAGGGTTGTTGCGGCTATGCGCTCCCGCCGGCGTTAACTCCCAAATGATGATGATATATGTATATATGTACATAAATATACATATATATATACATATATATATACATATGTACATATATATGTACATAAATATACATATATATATATATATACATATATATATATACATATGTACATATATATTTATATGTATATTCATGCATATATATATATATGTGTACATATATACATATATATGTATGTATATGTATATTTATGCATATATATATGTGTACATATATACATATAT